AAGAACGGAGCCTAATGTTCATGTATATCATCTTCGACCACGAGAGGACATGCGTCGTCCTGCAAGATATAGACCATAAGTCTACACCGAAGACTTTTTAAATCAGACTAGTATACATGTACTTTAACATGAAGGAAATTTAGGTCTCACATTCACAACAGATATATCTTAAACACATTAATGTATTATTGAACTAATGTTTGTTAGATTTTTTTTCTTGGTTACAACATTTGTTCTTTTTTAGTAAAATGTAGTTGCATTTTGTAAAAAAAAAATTGGGTAAAATGATAATAGTTTTTTTTTGTCTAGCTTTGTTTTCAATTTTAAATATGTAATTCGTTTGTTATTTTGATTTACGATTTATGATGAATGTTGAGCTTGAATTCTGATGTCAAAATTATTTTGTCGTAAACTCAAAACTTTATATAGCGAGTCTCACATTCACATCAGGTGTATTTTAAACACATTAGTGTATTGTTGAACTAAAGTTTGAAAGTTATTTTCTTGGTTACAACATTTGTTCTTTTTAAGTAAAATGTAGTCGATTTTTTTTAGAAAAGAATTTCTAGGTTTGTTTTAAATTATGATTATTTAATTTGTTTGTTATTTTAATTTACGATTTTTTTTATTTGTTACAACATTTGTTCTTTTTAGTAAAATGTAGTCGCATTTTGTAGAAACATTTTTCTAGCTTTGTTTTAAATTTTGATTATTCAATTTGTTTGTTATATTGATTTACGATTTAAGATGAATGTTAGGTTTGAATTCTGATGTCCAAATTATTTTGTCGTAAACCCGAAACTTAAGAACATTAAATTCTTAGGTCAAATATTTCTGTCATTTCTGAAAAGAAAAAAATCAAAGAATATGAGTAGTTTTAATAAAACAATTATTTCAAATACTTTCTTTTGTATAACATGATTTGAAGTTTGATGACTAGTAATCAAATTCAATAAATTTGTTTTATTTATTGAATTATTTTTATTGACTTATCGACATTTTCCTTTGTATTTTCGGATAACAACCGATAAAAAAATTAAATCGTATCATAATAGGCAAGTGTCATTTTATGTTAATGCACATAAAAAAAGTGCCCCGATTAAACTATTTTAATAGTATTTCACAAAACTTGATGAATTGTATTCATCAATATTTCCTGAGCATTAACTTCGGAAAGTTCGTTATTGAGCAGTGCTTTGAAATTAAAAGTGATTGTTAACTGAATAAAAGACATGCTGTTATTTATCAACGACACATTTGGAATTTTTCGAACGCAAATACACCTTGCGCTCAAGAGCGCTAATGCGCTCCTCCAGATCATCGAATCTGTCGTGATCAAACGACTTCCACAGAAAAGTGTTCTAACACATGTGAGAGTTTGTTCTTTGCAGTTTTAAACGTATATTCTTATTTTTCTGCACAAATGCGTCAATAATATTATTTCGGGGTAGTGAAAACTTGTATACTGAGTGTATAAAGATTGATAATATTTTATGTATCGTGTCACGGGACTTCGGTTTATACGGTCTCATCTGAAGGACCGGTCTCCACGTGCCACATTGGGATTCGATCCCGCGTCGTAATAATTGACTCCTTAGATAAAGAAAAACTGTAACAAGGAAGGGACTTGTAAATTTATCGTTATTATAACTCCCAATACACCCGAAATCAATGTAATTAAACACTCGCGAGGAACTTCTATTCAACTGTGTCACTAATGATTGGCTTCGATAATGACCAGTCTTCATGAAAATGTGTTGATGAGATTTAATATATAACAATATTGAGTTTAAAGTTTGACTTAATCTGAGTGTGGCGGCGGTGAAATCGGTTGGTAACTGTCTGCGGCGGCGCCGTTATTGTCTGATGTTTATTTCTTGTCTGCGGCTACATGTAATGAGACATTTGTATGTGGGTAGTCCACTTGACACACTATTACCGACTTATTTCACCGCCCCACAAAGATCACGCGGCACCGCCGCCGCAGACAAGAAATAAACATCAGACAATAACGGCGCCGCCGCAGACAGTTACCAACCGATTTCACCGCCGCCACACTCAGACAAGACATATAGAAATATCAACAGAAAACCATCACCTGCGGTGCCGCCGCCGATTGCTGGCAGCGGCGCCGCCGCACACTATTAAAGACCGATTTCACCGCCTCCTCACAAAGATCACCGCCTGTGGTGGCATCGCTGCGTGCAATCGGTGGCGGCGCCGCCGCCGCCGCCGCAGGTGGTGATTTTTAATTTGATTGCAATTGCGGACCGGTTCCACCACAACCGCACGCATGCAGGAAATGTACAGATCACCGCCTGCGGTGGCGCCGCCGCACGGAATCGCCGTGCGTATGACACTAGAAATTTTACACCCATTTCTTTTTCCTTTAAGGCATGAAATTATATTTTAAAAAATGGGTACGAGCATACATGTTATGAAAGCCAGTATCCTAGGTGCTTGCTTCATTAGCATCATAAAAAAAACAATAGTGGAATTTACAGATTTATATCTCTATCACCCATGGACATCACGTTAACATTGTGACAATTTAATATTCTTTACCATCGCGATTACTTTACCCTAAGGCTTTATTAATGGATTTTAAGATGTTGGCATACCGCATTGCTAGAATCATAAAAGGTAAATATACAAGTAATACCAGAGGTAATTAAAAGAAAATTAACTGCAATCAATTTAAGACCCTTTAATGTAAAAGAAAGTCCTTGTGATGCATTTATAAATTCATTCAAAATTTATAAAGTTTTAACTTTTAATTGCAACACGTTATTAAAAAACACGTTCGAGAAATATTTTGAAATCCGTTTAAGATATTAATAATAGCCACGGTTTCACAATTCTGTAAGAAGATACCTAACTCTAGTCGACAACGAATGTCAAGAGTTATCTATCTTTGAGTACATAATACTAGTATACTAATGGGTAAGGCGATACATGTTTTCGTGCAATATCTACTTCGGTATCAAATTTTTTATAGTTTATTCCAATATCTTTTTTTTTTCACCTAGACATAATTATCAGAAATACACGTCCTTCTATGCAAATTCACTCTATGTACATATTCAATCTTAGTTAAGAACTGCATGATCCATTTAATTAAGCACGCGGATCAAGTGGACTACCCATATACAAATGTCTCATTACATGTAGGGAGTGAGTAAACGTTAGAAATCCTGTTGAGATTAACACTGCTTTTTAAACTTTTATCAGATTAAGTCAAACTTTAAACTCAATATTGTTATATATTAAATCTCATCAACACATTTTCATGAAGACTGGTCATTATCGAAGCCAATCATTAGTGACACAGTTGAATAGAAGTTCCTCGCGAGTGTTTAATTACATTGATTTCGGGTGTATTGGGAGTTATAATAACGATAAATTTATAAGTCCCTTCCTTGTTACAGTTTTTCTTTATCTAAGGAGTCAATTATTACGACGCGGGATCGAATCCCAATGTGGCACGTGGAGACCGGTCCTTCAGATGAGACCGTATAAACCGAAGTCCCGTGACACGATACATAAAATATTATCAATCTTTATACACTCAGTATACAAGTTTTCACTACCCCGAAATAATATTATTGACGCATTTGTGCAGAAAAATAAGAATATACGTTTAAAACTGCAAAGAACAAACTCTCACATGTGTTAGAACACTTTTCTGTGGAAGTCGTTTGATCACGACAGATTCGATGATCTGGAGGAGCGCATTAGCGCTCTTAAGCGCAAGGTGTATTTGCGTTCGAAAAATTCCAAATGTGTCGTTGATAAATAACAGCATGTCTTTTATTCAGTTAACAATCACTTTTAATTTCAAAGCACTGCTCAATAACGAACTTTCCGAAGTTAATGCTCAGGAAATATTGATGAATACAATTCATCAAGTTTTGTGAAATACTATTAAAATAGTTTAATCGGGGCACTTTTTTTATGTGCATTAACATAAAATGACACTTGCCTATTATGATACGATTTAATTTTTTTATCGGTTGTTATCCGAAAATACAAAGGAAAATGTCGATAAGTCAATAAAAATAATTCAATAAATAAAACAAATTTATTGAATTTGATTACTAGTCATCAAACTTCAAATCATGTTATACAAAAGAAAGTATTTGAAATAATTGTTTTATTAAAACTACTCATATTCTTTGATTTTTTTATTTTCAGAAATGACAGAAATATTTGACCTAAGAATTTAATGTTCTTAAGTTTCGGGTTTACGACAAAATAATTTGGACATCAGAATTCAAACCTAACATTCATCTTAAATCGTAAATCAATATAACAAACAAATTAAATAATCAAAATTTAAAACAAAGCTAGAAAAATGTTTCTACAAAATGCGACTACATTTTACTAAAAAGAACAAATGTTGTAACAAATAAAAAAAATCGTAAATTAAAATAACAAACAAATTAAATAATCATAATTTAAAACAAACCTAGAAATTCTTTTCTAAAAAAAATCGACTACATTTTACTTAAAAAGAACAAATGTTGTAACCAAGAAAATAACTTTCAAACTTTAGTTCAACAATACACTAATGTGTTTAAAATACACCTGATGTGAATGTGAGACTCGCTATATAAAGTTTTGGGTTTACGACAAAATAATTTTGACATCAGAATTCAAGCTCAACATTCATCATAAATCGTAAATCAAAATAACAAACGAATTACATATTTAAAATTGAAAACAAAGCTAGACAAAAAAAAACTATTATCATTTTACCCAATTTTTTTTTTACAAAATGCAACTACATTTTACTAAAAAAGAACAAATGTTGTAACCAAGAAAAAAAATCTAACAAACATTAGTTCAATAATACATTAATGTGTTTAAGATATATCTGTTGTGAATGTGAGACCTAAATTTCCTTCATGTTAAAGTACATGTATACTAGTCTGATTTAAAAAGTCTTCGGTGTAGACTTATGGTCTATAACTTGCAGGACGACGCATGTCCTCTCGTGGTCGAAGATGATATACATGAACATTAGGCTCCGTTCTTCTTTCTCTTTGTTCTTCCTCGTTGAGTCTTTCGTTAAACACATAATTATTTAATTCCAAAATCAAGGTTTCTACACACTTACACCAACACACAAGGGTTGAAATCATGATAATTATTCCAGCCAGCATCCAAACTGTTAAAATAAAAAATAAAAAAAAAACCTTATTCTCTTTTATATTCCTCTAAAGAAATGTCATCGTACACAGCTTTAGGTAAACTGTCCATGTGAACGATGTCGGTCCGATTCATAGTACGTCTTCGACGACGACGACTTAAGCAGCATACAGTTGCAATTATGATTAGTGTCACAGCGATGATGGTAATGAAGGTAAATGTAATAATTTTCCAGTGAATCTCTACAATTTAAATGTTATAAAATTAATTTAGAGTTACACATATAGTTCATTTGTGTACACACTTTTATTTGGAAGAGAAGGGGGGGGGGGGGTAACCATACATATACAAACCTAAAGATGTCACTTGAAAATTCTGCGGGGTCGGCTGAACAGAACTTGGGTGTGTGTGCTCTTCAAAAGTGGCAGATTCAGCAGTGTCGGGTGGAAACGTTGTGGTATAATGTTGAAAAGTTGAAGCCTGAAATACAAATTGAGATATCTACAGTTATGTACTATTTTTTTTAAATTCTCGTGATAATTTTCAATTAAGTGTGTGAGGGGTGTGCGTGTGTGAAGTTCTTTGTTTGTTTGATTGTTTTGGTCGAATTTACGTTCAAGTGTTTTTTTTTAACCGTTTTTTTCATTTTCTTTTCACAGTATTTATTGTATTATTATTTACATACCTTAGTGCATACAACTCCATTTCGTCTTATTGTGGCAAATGGAAATAAATCATGAATCTCTTGGCATGATAGTTCGGTTGATGTGATCTCAAAAAACTGCAAATTGGGGAACTCCTTATCACTAATCATTAAATTTTCAACTCTTCCAAGTACAAGTCTCTGTATATTGTAATGAATAGCATTTGTTTTTACGTCTTTTAAGTTAACTCCTATACAGTTAATAAAGCCAGGTTTTACAACAGAACTCCGTTGAAAAAAAGGTTTAAGTGCATTTACGACGACAAAAGTAACGCAGAAAATCACCTGAAATATTGAAGCCATGATCAGAATAAAAAATACTGATGATAATATAACAACTTGATCCACCGACAAAAGATTTTCAAATGAGGTACAGAAAGAGTCCTAGCAGTGGTTGTGTAATAGTTTTGGGTATGGAAGCGTGAGAACGTAGAGAAAACGGTCATTCTGGACATGTAGCAAGATTGTGTGTATTCAGAATCACCGAACAAGCCATCAGTATTGCGTAACCCTTGTTATGGCTAGCTAAGAGCGGGAGATCTGTTAGACAGGTAATCGTTCGGACGTTAAAAAAAGACAAAATTGAACATTGGTACCACTTGGCGCCCTTTCTTCTTAATAGGGGGTAAATACTTTTCATGATGCTTTGCTACAGTAAAATGATGTCTGGATTATTATGAAATAATCCACTCTCTCATAATTATATTCTAAGATGCTCTGTATACCTTTTCTAAATATAGCAGACAGTAGACTTGTACCTATTTTAAATATAGCTTTTCCCTAACAAAGTAGGTTCCTATGGAGACACTAAGGTATAGACTTTATGGACTACTATTCATGCATGAAAATGTAGCATCTAAAAGCGGATCAACTGTTAATTTTTCTCATTTACTCACTGGATGCTTTACCTTCTGGAAGTCTACTTGAATTTATTGAATATTCTTTGAAAAAAAAAAATGGCACGATATATATATGGATTGCACTGATCTGGTTATTTGTCCATATGACAAAACGCATGTTGTGCAGAGGGGAAGATTACCTCGACATTTAATAAAATGCCAAAAAATATTTCAATCGAGGACTTAAAAAACTTCACTACATGTGAATATAACTTTTCTCATCAAATTAAAAGAGGTGAAGGTGCAAAACATTACCGTTACTGTGAGGATAAGAAAAGACACGACGGGTGGCTAGAAAGGGACAATTTAATAAAAAAGAAGGGTGACACTTCTCTCCCTCTATATAAAGACCCCGTAATAGAGGGAGAGAATTGGGATGAGGAATTGGATCCATTTCTGTCAAATTACTGTGCTCCAATGCAAGAAAAAGTGAAACAATGTGAATTTGCAAAGAAGGGTGACACCTCTCTCCCTCAATATTTAAGATCTCCGAATAGAGGGAGAGAATTGGGACGAAAAACTAGAGTCATTTAATGAAAATTGAAAAAAAACCAACAATATTCATGTTTTCACTGTGGATTATTCTTTCATTTTTAAATCTGTTCATGTATGTATATAAAAAATATCTATTCTCAATGCAATACTGCATTTTATTGTTTGTTTTAATTTGATACTTCTGATTTTATCTATACTATAGAATTAAGAATATATGCCGTTTTCTTTTTTTTCTTTGCTTTTTAATGAAGCAAGTAAACAGTTCTTAACTTCAGACATGAATGATTATATAGATCCATTCAAGATACGTACATTGGTGTATTTAATCACTATACCCAATACCTGTCGTTCGGTGTGTTAGAAAATTTGTACATCAGTCCTTTCTGAGAACATCAAAGATACCTTGAAACATATTCAAACCTATATAATGAAAATTGTTGCAGTAAAAGATTTAATTTTCAAGCTTCATTTTGATACTTTTTGAATTAAATTATAAATTAAAGAGTTGTCCTTCATGGCTGAGGAACAGAGTCCCTTAACTACTACACATGTATATATAATGAAAAATCGATACTTCGATATGTCACCATGAGTAATCACGCTTTGCCCGCTGAGTATAATTATTTTTTTTAACACTGTAAAAAGTAAAATTTATCTTTCGACAACATATCACTGTGCCATACATGCCGTTCAGTGTGTGTTAGAAAATTTGTCCGTCTATATAGTGTCAGTGAAACCTTTTGATTGGTTTCAAACAAAAGATACAGAATAAAATACAATGTAGTTTGATTTTTGTATTCCTCTATAATTTTCATAAGTTAAAAATGTTCCTATGGACTAACGGTGATATGTCCCGCTATGAGTGAAATACGATATAAAATTAATTATTGAAATTCATTTGTAAAATGCTGCCCACCTCAGGCTTTTAATAACCCAATGCACAGCTTGGATCTCCGTTACAGTGTACATTCGTCTTTCCAGTTGAACATTTTAATTTGTTTGGTTGTGAGAACTCTTTTAGGGTTCATAGAGCTTCTTCGTGTATTTTACCGTATTTGTTATGTATGATAATAGTAATTAATTTTACTGTTGTGAATCTGCAAGGTCGAACTGAGTTTGATCAGCGCGATTTGTTCGGTAATAAATTATAAATTTTCTTTACTGAAACGGAGATGTGTCTCATCGTTATGACCCCCCCCCCTTTCCTGATTTAGCTTTATAAAATGAAACATTTAAATCAAATGCATTAACTATTGTATATAACATGAAAAAAATCGATACTTTAATTCATTACATATACGTCACCAGGAGTTATCACGCTTAACTCACTGAATTTTTTCATCAAACACAATTACAAAAGTTCCGGTGAAATACCGCTGATAATGAAATGTTACCATTAACAATGAAATACATGCAAGTTTAAAATGTTGGAGAAAAAAATGTGAGCAGTGATAATCGATCTTTATTGAAAGTATTCACATAAATCACATTTCATAACAATTTATCAAGCTTCTTTTTTATTTTATTTTTTAGGACCTGGTAGATGAAGAAAAAAAGAAAAAAAAAATGTTTTAAATTCTTAAATAAAGAACAGAAAAATTAGCTTTATTATTTTAATTTTTTTCTTGGATAATATAGAGAATTGTTTTCTGAAAATTATGAAATGATCGATGGTGAAAATTTTTTTAAATTAAGTCTGCTACAGTTACGAACTCGAAGTTCACAACTTTGAGGAAAACTTAAGGACATAAAATCAAAACTGCTTGTAAATTTATACATCTGGTCTTTCCAGTTGACCATTTTAATTTGTTGCTTTTTGAGAACTTTCTTAGGGTTCATAGAGCTCTTTCGTGTATTTGACCGTATTTGTTAATCGAACTTACGGTGATATGCCCCACTAATAGTGAAATACGATATAAAATCAATTATTGAAATCGACGTGTGAAATGTCCACACCGGGCTTTTGATAAGCCATACGCACAGCGGGGATCTCCACAACGTTTTCAACACTGTAACATCAGCATCTATTCACAACATTGTTAAAACTTATGCTTATGGCTTTTAGAAGTACACATTGAACATTGTTCATGGTTATTTTTCTCTATAATTATGAATGAATGTCAACGAATGTGAAGAGTTTTCCATCTTTGAGTACATAACATACAAATGGGTGGGGAGATACATGTTGTCGTGCAATATCTAGCAAATGTATTACTACTCTTTTTTTTCATCTTTTTTTTTCCTCAGTTGACCATTTCAATGTGCTACTTTGTGTATAGACTTTGGGTGCAGTAAGCATCATCGATACCGAGATGAGTTGCATCGTTTAACCTCGATTTCTCATTTCGGATTATGTATGAACCATGAAAAATAAACTGTATAAATCACCTATCATGTCAATTGAAATATCGATATTTTACCTTGATCCCAGAGATGTCCCCACGAGTTATCAATGAATAGTTTCTGGGGGTTTTACCACTGTAAATGTACAATTATCTTTCGACTGTCACTGCACCCAATACCATGTCGTCCGGCGTTAGAATATCATTAAAATCTATCTAGTGTATCAATGAAACCTCTTTGGTTGGTTTTATATGATATAGAATAAAATACAATATTGATTTTTTGTTGTCCGCTAAAATTTTCAATGTTTAACAAATGTTCCCATCGACTAACGGTGATCTGTCCTGCTATTAGTGAAATACAATATAAAATCAATGATTTAAATCGACGTGTGAAATAGGGTCCACATCGGGCTTTTAATAAGGTATACGCACAGCGGGGATCTCCGTTACAGTGTTCATCCGTTTTCGACACTGTAATGTCAGTCTATCTAACTATTCACAGCATTGTTAAAACTTATGCTTATGGCTTATAGAAGTACATATTTTAACAGTGTTCATGTAAATTTTTCTCTTGTTTTACATCGCATTAAATTCTCTCCGAATACTGTTTAAATAACCTATCCCGTTAACAGATCATTTCCTCTTCGTTGATTGTATTAATATTTCATTAAATAAAGTATATATATTCCCAATAAACACGCATGTGTACGTATACAGTGTCAAAAAATTAAATCAATTATTTAGTCTTAAATTTATACACTGGTTAATACTTCATAACAAAAACCACCTGTGGTGTGCTCCACCCCTTTTCCCCTCATTCATTCTGGTGACTCATTGGACTGGGGTCCGTCCTCTGACGTCATTGATGTGTAAATTTGATGTGCAAATTTGATAAAAGGAGCATATATTCCCGCACACTATACTACTTGTAACATTTTTTTTTTATTTTTTTCATTTAATTTTTTTTTTATTACTGCATTAAAAAAATATATTGCAATTATGTGTTATGTCACTCTGCAAACTGATTGTTGTAAAAAAAACCATTAATCAAAATCAAATTAATCTTGATATATCAATTTGAAATGCATTTTGAAAATAAAGAGCTGGTCATCCAGTGATGAAGTGCTTTGACAGACAATAAATTACAATTAAGAGAATAAGAGAAGAGAGATCTTTAATTCTTGTGCCTTATTCCCTGGAGATTTGATAACACACACACGCTTGATAAGAGATATTAGCCTAAACAAATTCCAACACCAAACCATTATAACATTTTTAAAAAATTTTTTCATTTAATTTTTTTTACTACTGCATTAAAAATATATATTGCAATTATGTGTTATGTCACTCTGCAAACTGATTGTTGAAAAAAAACCATTATACAAAATCAAATTAATCTTGATATTTCAATTTGAAATGCATTTTGAAAATAAAGAGCTGGTCATCCAGTAATGAAGTGTTTTGACAGACAATAAATAACAATTAAGAGAATAAGAGAAGAGAGATCTTTAATACGCAAGTTTCGAGATTATCTCCCTTGGTGCGCTCTTTCGTTTAGGAGAGGAGTTTGGTTGCCGCGTAAACAAACAGGTGGGACAGTTATTCATTATTGTATATATCGCATCATCAATATACTGATTAATCGTAGCTATATAATAGTAAGGATGCACTGTTCAACTCGAGAATAACCAAATCAAAGTAAAGGTGGCGTTTTTTTAAATAAAAAAAAATCGAAACAAAAAGAAAAGTCAGTGGACGTTATACTTTTCAGATGAGGGAAGAGATATATGGACCTCTAATAAATACGGTAAACATGAATCTGATCAATATATGTCGGCAATCTAAATGACACATTGATATCTTCCCTTATTATAACTTCAAAAAACCCACTAACTTTTTAGAGAATTGCTTGTACAATCAAGAAAATCTTTTACATTTTATAAAGACCACGACGTTTTTTTCGTTTTCAAGTACCATATAATTGAAAGTACATATGTAAATATACACAGTTGAGCTTGATAAAATCATAAAATGCATCACTGTTTAACAATTATATCTTTCTATAACATTAAATAAATTTTAAAAGCCATAAACATCGTTCATTTCTTTATGCACGTTTGTATACATGAACAAACTGTCCCACCTCCTTGCTGAAATGGATACTTTTTGCGCCTCTATCGCAGGAGAGTTACAATCTCGAAACTCGCGTATTCTTGTGCCTTATTCCCTGGAGATTTGATAACACACACATGCTTGATAAGAGATATGCCTAAACAAATTCCAACACCAAACTCATTAATTTATCTTTAACTGGATGCATGTCCAGTCATTATTCCCAAGAGACAAATGAAATTACATTATCTTCTGTGCAATGTAAAAATTGTTTTTAACACTTGATGATGTTTCTTTAAGTTTTTATGAGTAGTTTTAAGCTGTAGTTCGCGTTTTTGTACAGATATTCTAGATTCTATATCTCAAACCTTATACATGAGTCCAAAATGAACAAGTCAATTAACATTTTTAAAAACCGGTGAAATGCAGAAAAATGAACAAAAAGAGTTGGAAATTCCAGGTGCACAACTTCAGATTAATCCTTGCAATAGTTTCTGAGAAACGGTCCAGACAAAACCACAAAATAAAAATGGAAAAACACCTGTAAAATTCAAAATAATAAACCAATCAAGATGAAAATTTCAGGTGCTCAACTTCATATGGTGAATAATATGTGTACAAATTTTCAGACAATTCCTTACAATAGTTTCTGAGTAATGGTCCGGACAAAATCTCGTCTACAGACAAACAGACAGACAGATGGATGGACAGACGGACATGGTGATTCCAATATACCCCCCCTAAACTTCGTTTGCAGGGGGTATAAAAATGTTACTGCGTTTGAACATTTTTTAACCAGTTTGTTTGTTTCGATTCTCTTTTGGGAATTTTCTTCAATGAAATTGGGAAAAACACATACTTTTTACCATTGGGAATGGGGCCTTATACAGGCCCCCTACGACCCCTAAAAAAACCCTGGTTTGACGCGGATGATTTAGAATTTGACGAGGAAAACTTAACACAATTCCAGGGTGACGAATGGATGCAAGGAAACTTACACTTCCGTGATTTCAATATCTACGGTGAGAAAAAAATTAATGTCGATCTCGGAGAAAACGCAGAAATGATAGATTTTGTGAAACTTTTTATTGATGATCATGTTATGGACATTATGGTTCAAGAAACCAACAAGTATGCCGCAGATTTCTTGGCGTCTCTGCAGGGACAAAATCTGAAACGTCAGTCAAGATTCAGGAAATGGAATGACGTTTCGCAGGATGACATGATGAGGTTTTTGGCCATTATAATCGGTATGAGACTTGTCCAGCTCCAAGATATCCAAGATTATTGGTCTAAAGACGAATTATTGGAGACCCCAGGCCTCAGAAAAATATTGCCCAAGAATAAATTCCTTCTGATGTTGTCTTTGTTGCACGTTTGCAACAATGACAATAACATTCCACGAGGACAGGACGGACATGACCCCATCTTCAAAATAAGAAGAATATTTGACCACCTGAAGCAGAAGTTTGCTGATGTGTACTCCCCAGGTGAAAATGTAGCCATAGATGAAGGTATGGTTGCATGGAGAGGTAACCTTTCCTTCAGAGTTTACATGCCGGACAAGCCTGACAAATTCGGGGTAAAATTCTTCATGTTCTGTGACTCGTCCAATGGATACTGTTCACAAATTGAAATCTACACTGGTTCCTCAGATGCACCATCAGAAAAAGAAAAAATCTATGACCTGGTCATGAGACTAATGAAACCATACCTCAACAAAGGACACAAACTATATGTGGACAATTTTTAATACGTCACCTGTCCTGTTCCACGATTTGAGACAGCATTTGACAGGAACTTGTGGTACGATGAGATCAAACCGTAGAGGAGTTCCAAATGAAATCAAAAATGTGATATTAAAGAAAGGAGAGTCTGTTGGAATGACAAATGGAACATTACAAGTGTTGAAGTGGAAGGACAAGAGGGATGTTCTCATGTGTTCCTCTATCCACAATGCAGACCTCGTCGTCGTACCCGGCAGGAATGATAGAACAACAGGAGAACCAGTCCGCAAACCTCAGTGTATCCTGGACTACAACAAGCATATGGGTGCTGTTGACCGATATGATCAGATGATCGTATATCCAGCTTTCAAAAGGAGAACAATCAAATGGTGGAAGAAAGTGTTCTTTCACCTTCTGATGATGTCGGTGTTGAATGCCTACCTCCTGTATAAAGAACACTGTAAGAAATACTGTACAGCAGGAAATTAACTCGCGGAGTTAATATTCGCTATATTCGCGGAAAAAGAAATTACGCGAATTCAACATACAGTGAATAATTCTTTAAAAGATTTATAAGCCTTAGGATAAATTGAAATTTTATTATTATCTGTGATTTGATACATGTTGACTGTCTTTATAATTATGCGAGTGTATGGATCAATAACAAACACGTAGTTGTTTGTGTTTTTAAAGCTTATTAATTGTTCAATTTATTTCTAAAGCTAACGATTAATTTTTTTCCATCCAGAAGACGTGCCATGTAATTATTTCATAAAACATGCTTGTTTAATTTCACCCGTGCGTATCACTCACTCAGTCATTATATTTAATCAAGACACGTAATAAACAGGGTAAATATAATTAATTTCAATTATATGATTTAAAGTTCAACATTTTGACAACAGTACAATTTTTTTCTGATCTGGACTCGGAAATTAAAAAATCTGAAAGCGTAACATTATTTTGACTTTGAACAAATGGGGATCAGTCCGGTGTTTCGTTATTGGTTAATTCAATCGGGATCAAAATCAACACAATATACAGGCTTGACTTTTTTGTCTGATATGCGCAATAAACAGGTACAAACTTTCGTAAGATAGAGACAGGAAATATGAGTTTAAACAATAAATACTTAAAGAAAAGTACTTGCAAGTACTATTTAAGAAATTTATTATTTTTTCCTTTCCGCGAATTTAAACAACCGCGATTTGCTGAAAATTGAAGAAATAGCAATCTTTTCCGACCGCGATTTTAACCTGCTGTACAGTACCAGAGAAAGCCTGTACTTCACAGAGTATTCAGACGGGAAGTTGTAAAGCAAATGATAGCCGAAACCAGTCCTCAGGCTGCAGTCTTACGGGGAGCTGTAAATCCCAGGGATATGGAGAGGCTTACAGCACGCCACTTCCTGACCAAAATAATTTAAATTGAGCTAAAGGAAGGACAGAAAAGCAAACCTCTGAGAACCTGCCCTGTTTGCTCCACGACAACCGGAAAGAGGAAGACAGTAGGGGATGGAAGGAAAACCGTTCGGTCATCTTATGAGGGTAAGGACTGTGATGTGGGCTTATGTGTTCATCCGTGCTTCAAAATCTACCACACAAACAAAGACTTCAAGCTCGGGTATCAACGCTGGACTGACCAAAACAGGGGAGAAAACGAGGAAAGTGATTAATTATAATTAATTAATTACAGTTTCATATAAGGACTTGTGAATTTAGTGAATAATTAATTTTTGTACATCATATCTAGCTTAACATTGTTTTATCTTCAGCTTTAATAATCATAATATTATGTTGGGCTAAAAAAATAATTATTTTCTGCTTAAAAATATATTAATTTATCAATTAATTTCAAAATATGAAAAAAAATCTCATTAAACTCTCTTTTCTTTGTTGATACCATTGTGTCTTTTTATTTTATATTATTTTTATTTAGATAATCAGGTTCTCCAATTATTCATGAATCTAAATTATATAGGGTTCTATTATGTAAGATAACTAGAAAGTGCTGAAAACAGCAGGATACAGAAGATAGCATCATTATGGCATTTTTCTCAAAACATGGCGGCAGTGAGTGAAGATGCTGATAACAAACAGCGAGGCACTGCATGCAGTGCTTATCAGTTGACTCACTGGCAGGACTAGGGTTAAAACAATAATTATACACACCCAAAACCTATTGTCCCTAAAATTTATCTTATTTCACTCGAAAAAAAAAATAAATAAAACACACTTGTCTTTAAATTGGAGACGATGAAAATGAAAGTAATTCACTGATTCTCAGAATCTGGATGATTTTGTTACAGAAAGTAACAAAGTATGCTGCAAGTGAATCAACTTTTGTCAAATTCTTATTCAAAAGATAATTTTGCATTGGGATTCGTGGGTAAGCAGGTTGTGGGAGGGGGGTATGTGTTTTATGCAATTATTATTATTTAAAGTAAATTTTGTAATGTTTGATAAGTAAATTCCAATTTTCTAAGTCAAATAGTAGTCATTCTTTTCTTCCGAATTATCACTATTAGCTTCAACTTGGCCGCCGACAATAGTCGCCTCGATAGTTTGATACAGTCATGTTCTGATGTAGCATGTATATGGTCCGTGTTTTCGACGCGGCATATCAAACATGCATCATTCACAGAAATATCGTTTTATTACCGAATTATTTCTGTCAACCGAAAGCTGTTCCCAGCCTTTTCTTTTTAATTAATTTATCCTTAAACTGTACAATATGTGTCTGTGGACGCGACCGACTTCCAGCATATTCGTTACCGGATATTTAAAACGCTAAGTAAAAGTCAAACCAATATAGTTAAAAACTCTCATCTCGGAAAAAGGACGCGCGGTTCCGGTTTTACTATTCGTAAATGACGTAGTGCGAGTATAGACCTACTTTAAGAATGCTTCATATAAATAAGATCAATCATGGATTCTTGGAAAGAGATTTTTAAAACATACCACCAAATGTTTACTATTTCTGAATTACATCCCCTTGAATAAAGGCATGGCCCTATTTATGTACAAACTTGAAACCCTTTCACCAATGAATGCATTGTAGCAACTTTGATTGAAAATGGCCCAGCGTTTCTTAAGAAGAAGTCGAGAATGTTAAAAGTTGAAAAACAGCTTAACAGATGGATAAATAAAAATGTGATCAGAAAAGCTGAAGTCTCAAGTGAGCTAAAAATATATGATCTACAAGAATGATCTACGTTTTTCAGGTCAAACTAGAACTGTCCATTAGGGACAAATACCCCCGCTGGGTTTTTCAGAGTAGGTGCAAATTCACAAATATTTATGGATCTATTAAGAGGTGTTCACTAGAATCAAATTAATCTATATAAATTTATATCAAATTCATTTTAAAAAATAATAAAGTGCAGTCAGCCTCAGCATGATACTCCCATTAAATATTGTTCATTCAAGTATTACAAACAATTTAGAGTGCAAGAAAATCATGTCAACCTTTAAAGGGATTTGCATAATTTTTCCATTCCTTAAAATAATATTGTTTAAACATCTCCTTAGGTGCAAGCTTTAATTATTACAAATAATCATCAGCTGGTTGCATTATAGCTTGACAAATGCCCCTCCTCCACAAACATACACATATGCACATGTCTTTCATGTGGGACATGATGACCTGAAATTGGTCACTTGATATTTTCAAAAAAAAAAATATATCAATTTAATTAATATGTCTTAAAAACTTGATCTATACCAAATTGATTTTAGAAATAGGAGACTGGCCATCAAATGACAAATTCTATTTAAACTGACCAGCAGTTCTTCTGTCTAATCCCCAAAGGACACAGATAATAGCTCCTTGATCAGAGATATGCTCCAGCAGAAATGATTGAGACAGCTTCAGCTTCCCTACATAGAACTCATTAATTAAACTTTGACTGGATGCATGCCCACTAATTGTTATCAAGGGATGAATGGATCTTAACCTTCTCCTTTGTAGTGCAAACAAAATGCATTATTGCATGTATCATTCTGAAATTAAATCTGAAAACAAAGATTTTGTATAAATTTGTTACAAAGATTTATACTGAAAAAAAAAATTGTGTAATCTTGATGCATCATTTTGAATAAGGTTCCTGCATGATTCTAAAGATTGGTAGGGACTATCTACCTAAATTTATTTTTTTTTAATACTTGATTTATTTGGATTTTATATCATACGAAAAGTTTCAATCTGAAATTAATGTGGAGAATGAGCATACTGATTCCAATCCCCCACCCCAACCCCCACATACACACACAATATACATTGTAATTAGTTTTAATTATATTATACAATATCAATTAAGTTTTTTATACAATTTCAAATTAGTTTAATATACAATATCAAATTAGATTGAAGTTGCTTTTTCTCAAATTCATTAAATTAGTTAGGCTAGTCACTAAAACTATTTAAGGCTGATTCCTCAGCCCAGTTCCCAAGAGACAGATAACAAGTTCTTGATTAGAAATGTCCTTCAAGTTAGCTCCTTTACACTAAACTAATTAATTTCTCTCTAATTTGACATGCAATTTTCTGTTATCAAAATTCTCCTTGACCAGTGCTTCATAATTATACCCTTGGGAGAGGTAGATTTTCTCGTATAAAATAATTTGTCATGGATTGCTGTAAAGTATATAATAAAAAAAATATATTTTCTTAATTTACCATGTTTTAAATAGGGATACTGCAACATTCTTACATTTTTAGGGATTGTTTAATTCAATAGTAAAAGACAGTTATTTTTTTAAATTTCACTTTAATTAAAGGTCACAGTGACCTTGAAATAGGTCATGACACACCTTCTACCCAAGATGCATAAATTGGCCAAGTTTGATGATTGTAAGTCTAATAGTATTCTAGTTATGAGCCAAACAAAACAACAAAATAAAAAAGAAAAAATGCCTGTAAAATGCTGAAAAATTATCCAATCATGATGACAATACCAGGTGCACACCTTCACATGGTGAATAATATGTGTACAAATTTTCAGACAAATCCATCCAATAGTTTCTGA